TACGGCCCGTCCCCCCCCCCGCCCGCCGCCGCCCCGCCGCCCCCGCCCCGCCAAGCTGCTCAGACTCGGCTGACCCGCACCGGTCTTCCGCACCCATCACATCTTTACCGCCGAGGGACGGCAACTGCAGCCACGATGCGAGCGATCTACACATGGTGACTTGCTTGTTGATCGGTGGGTATAGAGAGGCAGGGAGGAAGCTGCATCGCCTACCACACTGTGGCTACAATGCCAACGATCTTCCTCTCGATTGGCGGGTGTATGAGATGTTTGCGGAGAGAATAGGAGGGAGAGAATGAGGACATCGCCATGCCTGCGACCATCGCCGAGATCAAACCGAGATGGTGTCTCATGGGAGGGGGGCAGGGGGGGGCAGGGGGGGGCAGGAGGAGAGGCGGGGGGCGGGAGGCGGGGGGCGGGAGGCGGGCAGGAAGCCGATCAGACGCAACCATACTCTGATCATCCCCCCATCACCCTCCCCTCCTCCTCCCCCTTCCCTCTCCCGTCGTCTTCCCTCACAATCAGACTTGACCGGACTGAGTCATGTCGCCCCACCGCCACCGCCACCGCCACCGCCACCACCACCCAACTCACTCACCCATGGCATCTAGCCCCCGCAGCCGTCGCGCGAGGTGAAGGATGCCGCACCGTGGGTCAAGGCCGTCATGGGCTTGGGCCGGACGGCGGTGGAGGACCAGGTCCAGCGGTGGGCTGCCGAGCTCCGGTCTGCTCTGGACGGACTGACCGACGGGGACATTGTGGCGGCGCTGGAAGAACGGCCGGAGGAGCTTAGCGGGGACGCTGACGACAGCAATCCGCAGCGGCTCTCCATCGCCGCCCTTCTGGAGCGTCTGTTGTCTGTCGAGTACTGGGGCGAGGAGCAGGAGGCTCTGGCTGTCCTGGTGCGATCGGGCGTCGACGGCCCGCTGGCCATCGTCCTCGCCGCCACCCATCCGGGTCCTCCGCCCGATGGAGGCGCCAACTCCCTGACGCAGGATCAGCTGGCCCAGTTAGTCCTCACCGGCGAGCTGCCGGCGGCGTCCGAGCCGCAAAGCGAGGCGCAGATCCGCCACGCCCGCGTCTCCGCCCTTCGCCAGGCCTCGGCGCTCATGTTGCGCAACATGGCTTGGGGCGCCCGCCAGGCCGATAACGGGTTCTTTGCACTGTCGCTGCTTTCACGCCGATCGCTTGGAATCACTGTGGCCAACGCGCTTGTCAACCACCACGAGTCGGGCCTCGTCGTCTACCATCTCATCGGCATGCTGCGCCTGGCTGCCGCCACCGTCCGCCACGAGGCCCACACAACAGAGGCGCTGGCCGAGCTGTGGTGCGCTCATCCGCGGCCAGATGTGCCCGGCGGCGAGACAACTTCCAAGCTGGAGCTGCTGCAGATCCTGGCCGCCACCGCCCGCACCAATCGGGTCATCTCGTCCAAGCCACCGCTGGTGGTCCACGCTGAGGCCTCGCGCCTGCTCTGTGTCCTCGCTGAGTGGTACACCCTTGTCCCGCGGCTTGCCGAGTATGGATGCTCGCGCCCAGTTGCCGATTTGGCGGTCCTGACTCCATCGCCGAGTCTGGAGCTCGAGGCCGTCAAGGCCCTGTGGCGGATGCTGTCGTACTCGGACGAGGCCATGGTTGCGACGTACACTCGCGCCCCGCTCCATGTTGTCCGCGGCCTGGTGGCTGTCATCGCCAAGACATACTCGCGCAACCGCGAGGTGGTGGTCAAGGATGGGCTGGCAGCCTCGCACGAGGCCGTTTTTCTCGCCTGCAAGTCCATGCTCGCCCTCCTTGACGCCGCCCGCTTCCCAGCCGTGTCGTCGACCGGCCGGCCGGTCCCGCACCCGCTCGATGCCATCGTCGACTCGGAAGCCATCAAGGTCCTACATGCTGTCCGGCTCATAGAGGCCTTTGAGGGCATGCCCGAGATTGTGCACCTCCTCGACGCGCTCGAAAACACGCCGCAAGGTCGTGCGTACCGGACCCGCGTCGAGGCCGAGCAGGCCGCCGCCGACGCTGCCGCCGCCGACGCTGCTGCTGCCGCCGCCGCCGAAGAGTCCATGTGCGCCAGGCTCCTCCGCGCTGCCCGCGCTGCCTGCGCTATCATGTAGCCACTTGGCATGATTTACTCCCACTCGCCAAGATCGTCAGAGGCGCACGAGCCGGCCGACGCCGCGTCGGGATCGACCGAGTCTGCTTCGGATGAGGCTGAGACCGAGCCGGCGTCGTCGCCAGCAAAACGCGGGTGGGCCGACTTGGGGTCATTGTCGACCACAGGCGAGGCCGCTGCAGGCGCATCGGCGGTTTGCGGCGGGTGCGGGATGTACTCGGGCACCGGCTCGCCGTCGTCGGTTGACGAGAAGAAGTCCTCCGACTCGTACGACTCGGCCTTGGCCGAGTCCGGATCAGCGTGGAGCGAGCGTCGGTTCGACGAGGCCGAGCCGGAGCGGCCGCTGGTAAAGGTGCGCCCGTCATCGGATGACGAGTCGTCGGCCACCCCGTCGTCCGAGTCCTCGTCGAGTGTGAGGTCAAACTTGCCTCGGTGTGTAGCCTGCTTCTGCTCCTCGTGGGTCGACGACGACCGGTCGATCCGCGAGAAGCGGTCAGCCAGGGTCTCAGTCGGGAGCGAGGCAAGGAGGTGGGTGATGAGAAAGTCGTCGGCCTTCTTGCGGGCCTGCTTGATGAACTTGTGCTTGAGCAGGCGCTCGGCAGACGGACGGTCTTCGGGCTTCTTCTTGAGGCACGAGGCGATAAAGTTGTTGAAAGAGGCCGAGAACTTACGCTTCGACTTGTTTGTCGGGTCCTTCTCCTTTTGCATCGACGAGAGCGTCGGCGGCTCATTCTGCAGGATCATGAGCATGACCTTCATGGTTGGCCAGCGCGCGTACGGCGGCGAGCCGTGCGCCAGCTCCATGGCCGTCACACCGAGCGACCAGATGTCGGCCTTGACGTCGTAGCCGGTCGAGCTCTGCTCCAGTACTTCAGGCGCCATCCAGCATGGAGTGCCGACAAACGTGCGCGCCATCGACTTTGCCGAGCCGAGCGTTCGGGTCACCCCAAAGTCGCCGAGCAGGACACGGCCATCGGCGTCAAGCAAGATGTTTGCCGCCTTGAGATCACGGTGGATCTGGCCATTACGGTGAAAGTACTCGATGGCCTGGAGGCACTTGTAGATGATGTACGAGATGATCTCCTCGTTGAAGATGCCCTGCGGGTGAGCGGTGCGAAGAATGTCCAGGCACGAGCCATACGAGGCGATGTTAGAGACGAGCCAGAGCTTGGAGCCGTTGAGGAAGGAGCAGTGGTACTTGACAATGTTCTCATGGTCGGCCAGCATCATCACCGCAATCTCCCGTCGAAACTCATCAATGTCCGTCTCCACCGAGTCGAGGTTGATGACCTTGACCGCCACACGCCGTCCGTTCTCCTTGCACACCGCCTCGTACACATCCGCAGACGCCCCACGTCCAATCTGTGCTCCGAGCTCTATCTCAATTTCACACTTAATCATGAGTACCGGAAGGGGGTGGAGAGGGAGAGGGGGAGGAAGGAGGGGGGGGAGGGGGGGGGAGGAAGGAGGGAGGGGAGGAGGGGCA